TCATCTGGACTGTTACAATAGCCTGTTAACTGGCTTCTCTGCTTTGTGAAAGGAAGAATCAACCCACCCTCCACATCAGAGTAATCTACAATGCTATTTTCATCTGGGCATAGGTCTTTACCAGCTTAAAATCCCCAAGGACTTCCCACTGCCTAGAATCTTAATTATTATGCACTTTACACTCATCTGTACTATCCATTATCTACCCCTGCTTCCTGTGAGAACAAGTGCTCCAGGTGAAACCAAATTACCTACCCAGGCTCTCCACTCTGCTGGCAAGCCTTCCCCTTCCCTGAGAGGCTACAAAATTCCTGGTCAATATTTAAGGCTTAGCTCACTTAGGTGATAGCACAGTGGTTAAGAGTGCCAGACCTGGAGCTAGACTGCCTGAGTCTGAAACCAGCTCATACTAGCTGTTATAACCTTGGGTAAGTTATTTAATTTCTCTGAACCTCAGTTCTTCTTTCCAAACTAGAATAGTAGCAGCTACTTAACAGGGTTTTGAGAACTGAGTTAATATACGGAAAGTACCTGGGCCACAGTAAATGCTACATAGGTATGTAGCTATCAATGTCTTCACTACTTCCCCTTCTCCCAAAGGCAAACACTCCCTCCCTCCTTTGTACTCCCATGGCACTTTATCTAAGTCTGTCACTACACTGTAATGGTTTTAGGGTAGGAACTTTCCATTTTTCCTTTGCCAACATTCATCTTCTCATCCTCCGCCAACATAATCGATGTCACATTTTTATCTAAAATAACTATCAATAAATTTGGAACATGCTCAAACTAAATGCTGTATAGGTACAAAAGAAAATGCAAACATCTGGCCACGTCTTCAAAAATAAAATTCAAATGGAAAAAAAAAGGTGAGAAAAAAAGCACTCTACCACATTAATAAGCATGCATAAAGCAGACATTAAAGTGCCTGGGCAATGACAAGCAGACTAGAATATGTCTAGCAGGAAAGATATACTGAGAAATGAAGCCAGCCTGAAAGTGTCACGAACGGTGTTTAATGCTAGCCCAAGGAGTTTGAACCTTCCTGCAAGAAGAACTGGGTCAAAGAAAATACTTTCGACTAGTGTCGTTATATGATTTAGTCGTTTAAAGTTAGGTAACTTTAAATAATGTGAAGCCTGGATTGGAAGGTAGACAGGAGACACGGACCAATGACAGGCACTACTACAATCCAGGCAAGAAGTAGCAAGGACAAGTGGGGCTGTACAAATAAAGACAGGATAAACAACATTTTTGAGATGAAATTAACTGGCCTCAGGGACGCCTGGGTCGGTTAAGTGTCTGCCTCCTGCTCAGTTCATGATCCCAAGGTCCTGGGATCAAGTCCCGCATTAGGCTCTTTGCTCGGCGGGGAGCCCGCTTCTCCCTCTGCCTGCCACTCCCTCTGCTTGTGCTCTTTCTCTGACAAATAAATAAATAAAACCATAAAAAAAAAGAAATTAACTGGCCTCAGTGACTATTCTGATAGGACAATTCAGAGGTTTCTTGCTTGCACGACTGGAAAATGATAACATGACAAAGATAAGGAATAGAGAGGGAGGAGCAAGGTTAGGAGTCCAGGAGAGGTGTAGTTACTCCACCTGAAGTAATTTTGAAAACAATAAACATATTATTTAGAATTAAAATCAAATGCTAAGAGAATTATGCCAACACACTGGCACCCACGGCTCTTATTTAACAAGCACATCAGAGCAAAATGTGTCCAGTTCAAAGGGCTCATTTGTTTACTAAATAATATGTTACTGTCCTTCATTTTGGGGAAGAAAAAAGCCTATTATGTAGAGGTACGGCTGAAGAGTGGCCAGTAATTTTCAATACTGTGTATTTCTTAAAGCCTGCTTTTTAAGTTTTTCACAATATTTTTTTAAGGCTATAAGATTCTCTTCTGTTCCAAAAATCATGATGAAAATTTAAGGCTGCTTAAGAATGTATTTAAAAATACTGACTTTAATTTTGCTTACTTGCTGCTCTGTATGAAATGCTTACAATTATTTCTGCATCTGTGATTTATATAAAAATTCCTATTGATACACGCACTTCCTGCTTTTTCTCTCTCAAGAGTTTCTTAAAAGGCTGAACAAGATAACCTGAACTAAAAGTACAATGTCTAAAAGTTCTAATTATGGCAGTCTATTTCAGAACAAACACAATATAAGGAAATTTAAACAGGCCAAATATTTCTGTTCCTGAAATGATGGACAGCAGGATAACTGTGCAGCTATAATCAAACTTCAGGGTGCTTGTTGAAAAAGTAGTGTATGGCAATTACACTGGATTTAAAAAAAGAAGAAAAAAAGTATTAAAAAAAGAAGTAGTTATCTGTCCTTCTCCCTACTTCAGGAGAATCTGATTTCCTAGGGCACAACCCAGAAACTTTTGTTTTCCAAACATCACAGGTGATTCTGAAGCAAATGTTTCAGGGTCACTTTGAGAAATACATGTACTGGCTCTGATATCAGAACCATGGTTTAGTTTAAAGTCCACTTCTCAGGGGCGTCTGGGTGGCTCAGTCGGTTTAGCATCTGCCTTCAGCTCAGGTCATGATCCCAGGGTCCTGGGATCGAGCCCCAAATGGGGCTCCCTGCTCAGCGGGGAGCCTGCTTCTTCCTCTTCTCCCTGCCTGTGCTCTCTCTTGCTATCTCTGTCTCTCTCTTTCAAATAAATAAAAAAAGCTTAAAAAAAAAAAGTCCACTTCAACCACTCATTGGTTGTATGAACCTTACACCGCTTACTTAATTTCTCCAAGGTTCAGATTTTTTTTTTAAAGATTTTATTTATTTATTTGACAGAGAGAAATAGTGAGAGCAGGAACACAAGCAGGGGGAGTCGGAGAGGGAGAAGCAGGCTTCCCACCGAGCAGGGAGCCCGATGCGAGGCTCGATCCCAGGACCCTGGGATCATGACCTGAGCCATCCAGGTGTCCTCCAAGGTTCAGATTTCTAATCTGTAAAAGGTGAATACTAAAAGTTTCACGAGGATAATGAGAGGATATAATGAAACAATGCTTATACAGTACTTAACACAGTGCCCACCTATAATTATTACTATGATTCACCCAGTTCCACAGGACAAAAAGTAAGGAAGAACTGGACATATATACATATTCACTATGACAGTCTAAATGCTTTGTAAAAAAATTCATGGTAATGGTTTTTCCATTTCCTCCTGATCAGGCATGCTCTTTGTCTCCCTTTCCCTTTAATTTTGTAATACATGAAAAAAGTTTTTGGACACATTACATAAGTGCTTCGAGTTTCATAAACAAATCTTACCAAAGGCGTAAAGCAATGAATGCAAATATTAACCAGAAAATACTGCTTTTCATATCAAAATAAATACTCAAAAAATTAATACTTTTACTGAACATTATTCAGATTTTACAGGAAAGCAAATCCTGTTTGCTTTTTCTGGTAGACCACAAAAATTAGAGACAAAGTTATCTAAATAAAGAGTGCCAACTGCTTTATATTTAGAAAAATCAGTTTAATTATACTATAATCAATTCATCTCCTTTCATTACACAACTCTAACTGGCTTCCCTATTTTAAAATCCAAAACGTAATTTTTTTAAAAGATTTTATTTATTTATTTGACACAGAGGGAGAGAGAGAGAGCGCGCGATCACAAGCAGGGGGAGCAGCAGGCAAAGGGAGAAGCAGGCTCCCAGCTGAGCAGGGAGCCCGAGGCCGGGCTAGATCCCAGGACGCTAGGATCATGACCCAAGCCAAAGGCAGATGCCCAACCGACTGAGCCACCCAGGCGCCCCCCAAAACGTAACTTTTAGTAGCCATCTAACGCTACGGTCTTATCACAGAAAAGAGAGATATACACACCTACACAGTTTTTTAAAACTCATTAGAACCTAAACTTTATAGAAGTAACCAGAAATCCTATGCTTTCACACTAACTAGAAATTCTAAATGATGATTTGTGTAAACTGAGAAATTTATTAAAACATCACTTATAAAAGTATGCAGCCCCCTCTGTATCCTTCTTACCATTTGAAAACTTTATAAAGCTCATCAGTTAATACTGCCTCATCTTTTATTTAAAAAGCAGTAATATCCCACAACAATATTTTGTCACTTGCCAAAAATCGACTAACTGATGTGTCTCTCTCATGATCTAACATGAATAAGTAAAGGTAAAATGGAAAACTGAAGGGCAGGCTGTTAAATGTGATGGACCCAAGGAACCTTGCTGAGCTGCAATCATCATATATCAGTATTTTTCAAGTGCTCACTTGTACAAGGCACTATACAGATTACCCCCCTTCAGCCAAGGCAAATAGAGGAGAGGGGGAGAGAGTGGCAGGGAGGAATCGGAGCCTAGAGGCCCTTTCTTAAGTGGCAGCCAACTGCAGTGCCTCAAACCATCACCAAGGGAACTCCGCAAAAGATGTATTTTCTGGACATTAAGAAACGTGAAGGTACCGTGAGCTTCCAGCACTTTGCAAAATCTGGTAGGATACTGGATAAGAGTTAAGGTTCGGCAACTGTAAAATTCCTTGCAAAGGGGTAATTTAGAAAAAGCTTGTACTATATGTTTTAGAAGGTTAGAAGAGTGGGCGGCAGCGGGTTCGAGGTCCACAACGGGAGAAAACTGAGGGTGCCGCCACAAAGGTCTGAGAATGGGTTTTCATAGCCCCTCCAAGTGTCGGGGGGTGGGGGGGTAAGGACCCAGCTCCGGCCTCCACTTCCCTTTCCCACCTGCGCCCCGAGCCGGGCGGGGGAGGAGGCCCAAAGGGGGGCCCGAGTCGGGGCGGGGGACAAGAAAGCGGCCGTGGGTCCCCGGGAAATCAGAACGGAGCGGCCCCGAGGGAGGAACGGCTGCAAAAGGGCGGGGCGCGGTGCAGCGAGGAAACCGAAAGGAGGACGCCGGGGAGAAGGTGCCGCGCGACCGGGGACCCTTTCTGGTACCACATCCAGGGGATGGCTTGGGCGGAAGGGTCCCGTGAGCGAGAAAGAAGCAGAACTTACTCCTCGGTCCTCCTCCGAGAGGAAGTCGGGGCCGTCGTCCAGGCCTTCCTGCGAGGTCGCCGGGCCCGGCGCACCAGGGGAGAAGATGGAGTTGGGGAGACACAAAAGGAGACATTAGCGCTAGACCGGCGCGGCCCCCGCTCCCGCTCCCGCCCCGCGCCCGTCGCCCCCACCGCGCGCCCGGGGCTCGACGCCGCTGAGAACACCCACCATCATGGCTGCTCCGAGGCGAGGGCCGGCGCAGGCGCGCACCGCACCGCGGGGCCGGAGGGAGCCGGCAGCAGCGGGAGAGGCGGGGCTGGTGGCGGCAGGAGGAGGCGGGGTCTCGGGGCAGCCTGCCCCGCCCCGCCCTGGCGCGAGGGGCCGGGGGCCGTAAGCTGTGGGAAGAAGGAAGGTAGGGCCCTCCGCCCGACGTTGGAGCACCCCAGTCGGAAAGGGTCCGAAGGCCCAGACCCACATGGCTGCGGGCAGGTCGCGGCTGGCCGGCTCTGACCCGGAAGGGGCCGAATGCCACCTGGGGAGCTGTCCAGTTTCCTTCCCCTGAGGGCTGCCGCGAAAAAACCCAAACAAACGCCCTCCAGAAGCCACAATAAATCGCCTAGTCTTTGTATTATGCCGCACAATGATTAAACACAATTAATATTTTGCCCATAGAAATTGTGGGAAGTAAGGGCCTTCCCACTGAGCTGTAATCCAGCTTTTTACTGTTGGTGAGGTAATAACCTCAGGGTTTAGGGCGCTAATGGTGAGGACTATAAAAATGACCTGTTCGCGTTACAAGAGGATTCCTTTCCTTTTTATGAACAAGTGCCTCCAGACCTACTCTAACTGTCCAGCCGGACAGCACCACATGGGTGGTGCCGCTGCCTTCGGCCCGGGTCATGATCCCTCCACGGGCAATTCAAAAGACGGGACAAGGGACGCCTGGGTGGCTCAGTCGGTTAAGCCGCTGCCTTCGGCCCCGGTCATGATCCCAGGGTCCTGGGATTGAGTCCCGCAGCGGGCTCCCTGCTCAGCGGGGAGCCTGCCTCTCCCTCTCTCTCCCTGTCAATTAAAAAAAAAAAAAAAAGACGGGGCAAAATCATTCTTTGGCCTTTGCCCCTTGTCACCTGTTACGCACGCGCACATGCCATCTTTGTGCTTCCAGGCACTTAATGGCATCAGCCTCTTTACATTTCTCAGACCAGAAACCTCAAAGTCCTATTCAAATCCTCCTTCTTCTCCCTCACTCGTCACACCGTTTAGTAACAAATTCTGTTGGATCTGCAAATCGTCTGTCTCACCTCTTAAATTGGTCCCAGTGCTCCCTCTCCTCCCTTCCACAGCATCTGTCTGGACCTTTGCAATACCCTCTTAACTTTTCTTATTTCCATCTCTCTCTCCTCCATTCTACCTCCTGCTGCCGGTTTTCCTCCTAAGACAGACATCGATGATAAGGCTGCTACCCTGTTCGATGATCTTTACACATCTTTATTACATTAAGATCCAACTCCTCCGCCTAGCGTTTAAGGCCCTCCACACTAGATTCTCTTCCTATTTGCCAGGCCCTCTGTCCTATCTTGTTGAATTGAAGCTCTCAAAACAATAACGTTAAGCTATTAATCTCTTCATGAGAATTTCTTGTAGCTTTCATTTTGTATGTAGGGAGAACGGAGGCATAGAGAAGTTAAGTTACTGCCCAGACAAGGGTTATTCTCCAATTGGGTGGGGGTGGCTTTATTTTTTGTCTTTTGTTTCTTGTTTTCCAGTGCATTGTAATAACTACTGGAGTAGTGTTTTTCACTGGGAGTCATGAGGCATCATGTGGTGTCAGTGTAGTGTGATGAAGTGTCAGGAGGAATGTTCTGGTAATTTGTTGCTGATGAAAAGTGCCAATATTTCCTAATATTTCCTATTTTGTTTTTGGATTGAAGGTAATGCCTGTAGAGCTCTGCTTCCTAGATGGAGAGAGGAGTGAAGCTACAACTAATGAGCAGGATTTGCGTACAACTGAGAGGAGAGGAAGTGTGTCCTGTGGACAAAAGTTGAGAAGTCCCACCTAGGACCACCTAAATGTCTCTGGTCATTAACCAAGGGTTTCAACACTTAAGCCAAGTCCGGAAACATTGTACAGAAACACTCAAATTATCAAATGTCAAAACTTAGAAATCACTAGTTAAAAACAAGTTTTAAAATACGAGTAGCCAAATAAAATTATCAACAAAGGCATTTAGTAATTACAGCAGTTAAAATCAATGGCTGAAAACTCACATGAATAGAGAACCCAACCTTGAAATAATAAAGTTATTCATTAATACCTGAGCCTACCTATCTGGGTAAAGGTCACAAACTATATTTTGTAAATAATAAGAAGGAATTATCAGTAAACGTATACTAACAACTATTAAAAAGGCAGTTTCAGAATTTAAGGAATATCAAAGGAAAAGAAATTAAAACAAGCTCACACAACAGATTTTTCTGCTACTTATAAGATAAATCAAGAAGATATTAAAACTGAACCACTTCTCTAGTACTTTTTTTTTTTAAGATTTATTTATTTTAGAGAGAGAGACACACACATAAGTGGGAGGGACAGAGGAAGAGAAAATCCCAAGAAGGCTCCACACCAAGCATGGAGACTGACATGGGGTTTGATCCCAGGACCCTGAGATCCTGACCTGAGCTGAAACCAAGAGTCAGATGCTTAACCGACTGTGCCACCCAGAAGCCCCTTCCTTAGTACCTTTAACCAAATAATCAATTTTCATTTTGTTTTAATAGATTTTTATGAAATTGCCTACTTCTATATAAATTTCATGAGCAAATTGTGTTGAATCACAATCTGATTATTTCATAGATTTAGCTACATGAAAATAAAATACTACAATTGGGAGTAGACACCCAACAGTGTGCTTCAAAAACAAATGTATTGGAAAATTTTAGAGAAAAGTAAACTTTTAGAGAATAATAAATAAGTCACTTCTAAGTTTTGAAAATCAAAAAATGTATTTGCTTTGAACATTTTTGTCAAACAAAAACCGAGTTTTTTTTCTAGAAGAAAAAATAAAAAAATATGAAATGGTGATTATTTAGTTACATTTAGCAGAAAACTGTTTAATTCCTTTTATCACATTCTGATCAAAGAAGGTTTCACCAAAATGTATTTTTACCAACTCCTCAGTTCCTCAAGTTCTAGGTCATTTTTTGTTTTGGACAACCTTTAGGTCCCAATTCTTGCCTCCTCCCTGGGAGTTATGTTACAACAAAATTCTCTACAGGAAGATTGCTGAACTCTGTTTTTTCCAATTATGTCAATCAGGATGTGTTTACCTGCATGTAACAGAAAACATCAATTTGAATAAACTGAGCAGTATAGAAATTTATGCGCTCACAACAAAAAAATCAAGAAATAAGAAGTCTCTAGGCATAGTATAGATCTTCCTCACTTTATGGTGGTGTTACAGTCTGATAAACCCATTGCAAGTTGAAAATATCATAATTAAATATGCATTTAATACACTTAATGTATTCAACATCATAGCTTAGCCTAGCCCACCTTAAACATGCTCAGAACACTTATATGAGCCTACGGTTGGGCAAAATCATCTAGCACAAAGCCTATTGTACAATAAGTGTTGAATATCTCATGTATTCATTGAATTCTGTACTGAAAGTGAAAAACAGAAAGGTTGCATGGGTACAGAATGGTTGTAAGTGTATTGGTTGTTTACCTTTGTGATTGCATGGCCTACTGGGAGCTGTGGTTCATTGCCAATGTCTAGCAATAGTAGCTCTGACAAAATGAATCACTTATAATCCAGCACTTGGAGATAATCACTGTTCATATTTTGGTAAATAAGCCTTTAAATGTTTTCCCATGCATATGCCTCATCTAGTATTTTTTATTTTTTTAATTTTATTGATTTATTTAGAGAGAGAGAGAGAGAGAGATTGAGTGTGCATGAATGGGGGGTGGGCGCAGAGGCAGAGGGAGAGAGGATCTCAAGCAGACCATGCTGAGCAAGGAGCCCAACTCGGGGCTTGATCTCACGACCCTGAGATCATGACCTGAGCCAAAATCAAGAGTTGGACCCTTAACCTACTGAGTCATCCAGGTGCCCCCCTCATCTACTATTTTTTTTAAAAGATGTATTTATTTATTTGAGAGAGAGAAAGAACGCGGTGGGGAGGGGCAGAGGGAGAGGGAGAGAGGATCTCAGGCAGACTCGGCACTGAGTGCAGAGCCAAACGCAGGGCTCAATCCCAGGACCCTGAGGTCACAACCCGAGCAAAAACCAAGAGTCGGATGCTCAACTGACTGTGCCACCCAAGTGCCCCCCTCATCTAGTATTTTTATTGACATAATCAAGATCATGTCTGATAATATTACATCATATTATTAGATATATTTCTATTCTTCAGCATTAATTTTAATAACTGTATAATAATATTCTATCAGCTAGATGTATCAATGCATTTAACCAAACCCCATTGTTTGAAATTGACATTGTTTGTATTTTGGTTTGTTACTTGAAAACAAAAAAGTATAAAACACATCGTTTTTTTAAATTTCTTTTTTTTAACATTTTAAAAATTTAAATTCTTTTAATTAACATATAATGTATTATTGGTTTCCGAGGTACAGGCCTGCGATTCATCAGTCTTATATAATACCCAGTGTTCATTACATCACATGCCCTCCCTAATGTCCATCACCCAGTTACCCCATCCCTCCACCCCCCTCCCCTCCAGCAACCCTCAGTTGTTTCCTATGATTAACAGTCTCTTATTGTTTGTCTCCCTCTCTGGTTTCGTATTGTTTCATTTTTTCCTCTCTTCCCCTATGAGCCTCTGTTTTATTTCTTAAAAAAACATCTATCGGTGAGATCATGTGATAATTGTCTTTCTCTGATTGACTTATCTCACTTAGCATAATACCCTCTAGTTCCATCCACGTCATTGCAAATGGCAAGATTTCATTTTTTAATGGTTGAGTAATAGTCCATTATATATATATATATCTATATATATATATAGATATACACCACTTCTTCTTTATCCATTCATCTGTCGATGGACATCCGGGCTCTTTCCATAGTTTGGCTATTGTGGACATTGCTGCTATAAACACTGGGGTGCAGGTGCCTCTTCGAATCACTACATTTGTATCTTTAGGGTAAATACCCAGTAGTGCAATTACTGGGTTGTAGGGTAGCTCTAGTTTCAACTTTTTTTTTTTTTGACACTGGTTGAAACACAACATTTTATTACTTTTATGTACAGAAAATTCAACAGCGTCCACTCAGCC